ACTAAGCTGTATTCTGAAATCTTTTTTTTTTATTTTTGTTGTTTTTTTAAAAAGGCTTAGAATTATGCTAGAAATCAATATGTATTTGATACAAAAGTGGCAAACAGGTAAATAACAAGCAAGCATAGCAAGAGCAACACATAAAGCATATATAGCAATGTAATTAAGCGAAATGATTAAAAAAAAAAAAAATAATATAAAAGAAAAAGATTAAGAGAAGGCAGGCGGGTAGTATTTTACTAATAACAACACAATTTAGGGCCTCAAGAAAAGTATAAAAGGATTTTGATCTATCAGAATTTTTGACAGTGGATTCAAATTTCCCTTTTTTGGTTAAAGGCTCTCCAATTATTATACACGTACATTAGGGTGCGCGCGCGTTAATTTTGAACTTTGACCCACAAAGTAAGGCTCCCTCCCCCTCGATAGGTTCATTTGGTCATAAAAATATGCTGTTTGGAAAATTATCAAAGTCGGATAATGGAAAAATGTGCCTCAAAGACCGAAAGTTACGCACTTATACTTATTTGGGATGAACGTGCAAAAATCCATTGAGTGATACGAAACAAATAAGCTATTTTTACTGTTTTTCCTATTTTTTGAAAAATTTAATGAATTATATAACTTTAGGGCTCTTTAGGCACGTCTCTGCGTTATCCGATTTGAAAATTTTTCGCAGTGCACGAACGAGCTTATCCGGGAGGAGATTTGCTTTGTAGCTTACAAACAATTTTTCTCGATACAATAAGTCGCGATAGAAATTTGAAAGTAATAAATGTTATGCCATGGCCATATTTAAAAAAAGTAGTCAAATATGTATATTGAATCTTTAAAATACTACATAACCAGTATACATAAGTAACTCAAAATGCGGTCTGCGTAATTCATGGAGCAAAACTAATTATCTAGCAGGGTAAGAATTATTATAAATTATCGCATAGAAAAAGTGTGAAAAATTTCAATTTAGATTGGATATCGAAATTAAATTTAGACAAAAGGTTCATCTAATTTATTTGTGTCTATTTGCTATTTGAAATTGCATTAAAATAATTGCTGTTTATCCACTTTTATGCAAACAATTTTTCCCCACAATTTTTCCCGCGTTTTAAATGTCCCCTTCATTTGTGTATGCACTTACGCAAATTCGCCTTACAAATGTTTCAAAAAAACCAAATAAATATGTAAAAAAACAGAAAAAGCCGCCTTACAACTCGTAACGCTTCTTGCGGTAATAATAATTGCAAAACATTCGTTTACTTATGTAGGGTAATTGCGTACCGGTGCTGCCGGAACGGCCTTGTGGGTCCATACTGCGGCGCTCATTTTGCGCGCCAATCCGCTGCGAGTAGGCGGAAAAGGAGCGCTCCTGGTCGGGCGTCTGTGGCATGGTGGCAGCCTCATGGTCCAAAATGTACAACTCATCGATGGCAATATCGCAAATGTAGTGCAAATGCTCTTGGGCGCGATCGATGCGGAAGTAATGTTCAGCGGTGCAGGCTGCAAGTGAAAAGTAAGGAAATAAATTACACACAAAAATATAGGATGATTTATTTTGGAACGAATTTCCGTCATCCCTTGTCAAGTTTGGTTTGCAGACAAATTTTTTCGAAAAATAACACTGAAGATGGCACAACGCCGAAACCGGTTTGTCTGCAAACCAAACTTGACAAGGGATGACGGAAATTCGTTCCAAAATAAATCATCTTACCACCCTGTCGGAAAAATCAACCAACACCAACACAAAAATATAGGATTTTAAAAAAATTGTTTCAAGCTCCGAGCGCAAGTGTAAGCCCTAGATGTGGTGTACTTACAATCGATGAAGCACCAATCTTGCGACACCTTCGGGTATGTGATCGACTCCTCGAATTTGGCATTGAGTATGTTGCGCACTTGTTCCAAATCGCACTGTGACTCGATTTCCATTTTGCCCAGCTTGTTGGCCAATTTCCGCAACATCTCCTTATCGTAGTGGTGTTGCTCGTATTGCTGCATTGTTATTCGTAAAATCGTCAAATGCAATTTCTCCAAAGGATTCACCCTGAAAGCAATGTAAAGGGCATAGTGTAATAATTTGATAATTATAAAATGCGAGTGCGTTAAAACTTAAATAACTTTAAAAAATATATGTATAAAGTAATGTACTTTTAACTGAAATATCTTATTTCCTTAACGATTCGATTCGAAATATTGCATCTCAATTTAGTGCAGTGCTGCCTGGGCAGAATCGTAAGACTGACATTTTGTTGCCGCTTATTGACCTACTTCTATCAGATTACTGCAATGATAAGTTTGTCTGTAAGCTGAATTTGCTGAGTAATGCTTCAATTGCATGTTTTATGATGGCAAACAAAGGCCGTCTTGCCAGTTGGTTGCCTTAAGCCATGCATTAGGATGCACATTTCGACATCTAAGGGCGAAAAAACACACACATATGCATACATACATATGTACATGTGCATACTCTTCCAGAGACAACAACTTATAAAAATTACATGCCACCAGAAAATACGAGAACACTCCTTTAGGACATGCGAGAATTCTGCCAAGCTTGCTGAAAACATCCCACAGAATGAAGGAAAAACTCCTCTCTTGGGCAATCCATTTCACACATTAACACACGATATTATTAGGAAGAAGTATTCTCGCTCGCTGATTGCATAAATTGTACCTACGGAAACATTCCACAACTCATGAAATGAATGCGGAATCCTTCGACAAATGAATTCTTTTGTAATGAAAATGGAAAAATTTTGGAGAACTCCTTTCATATAAAATTTGTTATTGCTTCTTTCGCAGTGTTCACGAGAAGTGATAAGGAATGCTTCTACTTTATTGCCAAGCGAAAGCACCAGATAAGGATGTTTCCATAAGAAATGTTTCCAATGTATGTGTAAATATTAGGAAGGTCCAAAATAAGTAAAATCGTAAATTTAATGCTCGCATCCCCTAAGATTGTTCTATATTAAAAAAAATATACCTGTTTTTTTTTTAATTGTGAAATCAAAAAATATTTAGAGGTCGCTGAAAACGCTTAAAGTTTCCCACGTATTTTATATAAACAGAAATAATTTTTTGTAGAAATGGTATATGTATATGAAACACCGTGCAACAGTAAATTTTACACACAAAAAAATGAATATATTCGCGGAAATATAGGTAAATTATAATAAAACTACGTACTTAGTTTTTTATCTGGCGTCAGGTTGTTTTTTTTTAATACTTTGAAATTTAAAAAATACGATTATTTAAAAAATGTTTAAAAAAATTTAGTGCAATGAAAGATAACAAAAAGGGTATCATATAAAAGAAAACAATTCTTTAGAATTATTTAATAATTTTTTAGTGTTAATTATTTTTTACAGTTCCATACAACAAAAACTTGTTAACTTGGCCATTTGAATATTATGCGGGTCAGGTATCAAAGAATATATATAATGGTCCAAATGCTTATGTCTACCAATTTTTTAATGTGTTTTAAGGTGCCTTATATAAATCAGCATCTTTTTTACTTTAGCTTAAAAATAAAATTACAACAAACTCTTTAATGGATATAAACGTAATAATATAAAGTTGTGTGTTTATTTCTTGCACTTACTGTACATCGCCACGACCGTGCTTCCGTTT